AAGCGACCTGTTTCTAAACAGATAACCTAATACTGCATAATTATACAAAAACTCTACAGTTTTATATGACATTGCCTTAAAATATTCTCCTCTCTGGTCAGTGGCTGACCAAGTTAAAGAGCCTTGGAGCAAATCTTGGATATCTGACCCAGCTTGCTTGAATTTGGACTGATAAATGACCCATAACTGTTCGTTACCAGTTGCCGGTGATCCAAATCCTTGGCAAAAGTGATCAAACGTGTGACAATTATTGAGAAATCAAAGCTATTTTTTGTTATCCTTAAAACTATCTCAGTTATCCTTTATCCCCACAATTATTTAGTCAGTTATTCCTTATCCCTATAATAATTATTTAGCCAGTTATCCTTTATCCCTTAAACCCCCAACAGGGCCTCTATTAAAGGGGCCACCTCTTGTAAGCGACCACGACCACTTTTAGAGCTAAAAGTTAAAATTTTTCTTTTGTTTTTAATCTCCCAATATGACCCAACATGGTCTAAGCTCTCATAAGCGACCACCTCCTGTAAGCGACCAAGGCTTGACATTTTGGGTAGTCGCTTACAGGAGGTTCAACTGTAATGTGCATAATTAATTTTGATAGTGGTGACATGTAAATGTCATCTCCGAAACATCATGTTTTTATATCCCTACTTTCTAGTCTAAAATGTTTCACGAAATCTTCTGATTTAATTCATCAGGGCCTGGTTGCTCAAATGGTGGACAATACCATCCACTGGATAAATTGCTCTCCAGAGAGTGGATAAGTCTTGATGAAACAAAATATACTTAACCACTGGATAGAGATTTATCTGGTGGATAGTGTTATCTGCCCTTTAAACAACTAGGGACAATTGCATTTCTTTCTAGGTTTCTCGCATCCTACCCATTTTATGAATCAAAGCAAACCAAATTGTTTAGTGCTCTGTTACGTTCAGGTCTATACAACGGACCAAATACCTAGACAGCTATGACAATGAACATCTCTAGGCATTCATTCACAAAATTAATATTTTGAGAATAATTGAAAGGCTGCGGGCAAGAACATTCCCTGGATTTTTAGGTCATTTTTGAAAGTGCTCAAAAATAGCTGAATTTTGGCATGTGGGCTTCGTGTTACCTGAGAAACATTGCTCTGAAGTTTTTTCGCTGGTTTGCTCTTTGTTTTCTTTTACTCCTTACTTTTGGTGTGAAATTTCGGCATTAATTTATAATTTGACATGTGAAATTACAAAACTGCCATGGCAATGTTTGGCACAATAATAATATTTTTCTTGAAACAATAAACAAGTCAAAAGCCCACAATATTTGTAAGTGTAATTTACAATATTATACTAATGAAATTGTTAAAATTGTAATTTCCCTCACCTAAAGGCTTGGGAAATAATAGAAATTTTGACAAAATACGCAAGAAATTAATTCCTAATTTCCCTCATCACCACTTAATTACCCATACTTATTGTACTTGTGGAAACTAAGTTATCATGTCTTTCATGTTATGCAAGGTACATTGAAATATCTGATGAGATAAAGGGCGTTCCAAAGCTAGATGTAAACAAAATATGTANACCAAAAAAAAAAAAAACGCTCTGTGTACTCACTCCTCCACAAACTAATGTCAACTTTATTTATTACAATTCAATGGTAAACCATAGTAAGTAAATCTACTAAAATTATGACAAATCAAAAAATATCCCAGCAATTTGGATGGTTTACAAAAGAGCCCAAGGCTCCAAACCACTGGACAATTACAAAAAAAAAATTTGATTAGTTATAGTAAGACCTTTTTATGTCCAGTTTTAAGAAATACAAAGCTGCAGCCGTGGAGATGGCCAATGAAAGTACATTGCACCTGTCTACAATTCTTACAAAGAGAATCGTCTATGCCCTAGACTAAGCGTAAGTCTTGATAGTTGTACAAAACTGAGCAAGTTTATTAAACCAAGCTTGCACTGTAAATGAGTTCTCTTGGATTACATGAGATGATCATGTCATGACCACCTACAGTTCTCCTTACCTGTCTAGTTTGAATTTTAATACAAAGCTATACTAACAAATTCATTATACAAAAATCTAATTTAGACTAGAACATTAATATTTTTCATTTCCAGTTGCTACACTGTTCCTATCGACAAATTTTCTTCATGGCGATCTCTGTCCAATGTTTGAATTCTTGTACGACAAACAACACATTTCAAGGGAAGATTGAGGTCATTCACTGCCACCTGAAGTGTTTTGACAAAGCAGCGGCGACAAAGAACTCGGTGTTTGCAGGGGTATGTCTGAATGATGGCTTTGGCACTGTTGCACACAATACACTGCAACACAAATAAATCAAAAGGAAGGTGAAGAATGATCATCACAGTAAATTTTCCAATTTAAGCAATTGGAAAGAAGAAGCCTGAAAAATTCAGGGCTTCAACGATGTTGAAGCCTTGCAAGTGTAAGTGTAAAAATACCCTTGGTAACGGTAAAGTCTGCATACAAGCCAAGTGGCCCACCAGGAGCTTATCTGGTTTCTGTAACATGAAGCGACTAGGAATATTTCTACTCCCACCTGAATGGGATGCTAGTCCATCACAGGGTTACCCCCAGCATTAAGTTCACCGTTACCCATTTATACCCCTGGGTGGAGAGAGGCACTGTATGAGTAAAGTGTCTTGCACAAGAACACAACACAATGTCCCAGGCCAGGGCTTGAACCCAGACCGCTCGATCAGGAGACAAGCACACCAACCACAAGGCCACTGCACCACCACCCTTGGGTCTTGTATAATGGTTAAAATTACTCTTTTGTACAACAAACATTCTCAAAATAGCTGCATAAAACCACAGCCCTACCTCATCATCTTCAGTATCAGGAGTTTCAGGTTCAAAGTTATCTAAAGAACCAAGAAGTTGTTCCTGTTGATAACACCAAAATAAAACTGAATTATTTGTTACATGGAAATTTTAGTATGGTTTTTACAAGTATTACAATAAAGTGCCAATATATAGCAACCATTCGCTTTGTTTTTAACAGCACGCTTTAAAAAGTACAAAGCAATTGACTCAAAAATCAGGATGAAAAACAGCAAAATTTTGTTATCCCTTAAATTCCAGAAGTGATCAAACTCTAATTTCTCATTTCAATACTGATGCATCATCAGGCAAACAGGTGACAAGTATAAAGAAAATTTTCAACTGAGTCGTATTATCTTGATGTGACACCACCTTCCCAGAACTGACATTCAAAGAACTGATGGCTGTCAGTAAGAGAAAAGGACTCAAGTAAACAAGACTTCAAAAGAAACTTCTCGTTTGTAAATCAATTTTAAGTCTATTAAAATAAGTTATCCTGTCTTGGATTTAATCAAAGTCTTGCAACAATATACAATGATCTTACTAGTTAGAGTACCCTGAGTGTTCACTCCAAGATGGTAAAAGACAAATTCCAGATCCTGGGAAAACCGTTCCAAGACCCTTGTGTATCTACCATGGGAAATTCCATCACTTTACTTGAAGAGATATTTTAAATATAAGGCATCAACAAGATTCTCAGGAAGTTTGCTTTTCTGGTATATATCATACTATAAATACAGATGTGTTGTGTGGTGTGTGTTTGACCATTTTATACATAATCAGCTTGCAAACTGGTAATCTAGCATTTTTAACCCAGTGGTTATTTGAGGTTGCCAGTACCCTTACAAAATTATAACTTTTAATTACAAGAGAGACCAGGGAGAGGGGATTCTCCTAAGGAGAATGTGCTGCCTTTGTATTTTGTTAAATCTGCAAATGGTTAGACATTCAAGGCTTCTGGGATAAGGACTGTAAACTGTAGGCCTCGTCTCCTGCATCTTCAGTGTTACATGATTAGCAGGGGACATTAAAGAACCCACACACTTATCGAAAAGAATAGGTCACGTAGTTCCCAGTGTTGTGGTACGGCCTTGTCTCACAGGTTGGTGCTTTGCATAGGGTAAACCTCATTTCACCTTTCCTCCTTGGAAAGAATTGTCTAAGAAAAATTGCTATGAATACAACTACTATGACTAATACAAACTGTACATTGCACTCTGCACTACCCGATATTAAGTTGGCATCCCTGCAGGAAGCTTAACCAATTAATTCAATTAGAGTTCTGTTTTAATAACTCATTGTCAAACTTCCAACATATTAAATATTAGGCTTACTGTACCAGTCATTTATAGTAAAGAAATTTAGCCTCTTCATCAGTGAATAAGAAGCAACTGTTGCTTTTTATCCACTGATGAAGAGGCAGCAGCCTCGAAACGTATGGAGGTTTACGTACTTTTCGTGCATTAATGAATATTTACAAAATATCTTTATATAACAAACTTTGCGCAACGCAGTTTTCTTCTTGTTTAGTCAGTTATAGTTATTACTAGTTACGAGCAGTTAATCAAAGCATGAAAGCAATGATAAATTGTACCATACCAATTTGTCTCGTAATTCGACCAGTTTCTCGACTCTTCTTCTGCGCTCCAATCCTATCAACTCGTCGACATTAGTTTGTTTTTTCCTGGAGAATTGATACCACAAATAGAGCGCACCAGACGCAGCCACGATACCGTACAGCATTGGCCTGCCATAGCGACTCAAAAAGCTTGACATGATGATGTGCGAATAGTTAAGAATGAGCAACACTTATGTTATTACAATATTAGAGAGTCAACACTCCACATTCATCGCAGGAAAACCAAAGACAATCACAACTTTACGACAAGTTTCGCTCTGAACAAACTGTAAAACATTTCGGGAATCATGGGAAGGCGCCAGTCCTGACCTGGTGGGGTGGGGTGGGGTGGGGTGAGGCGGTTCTCTGGGGAAACCGTTTTCGTCATTAACTTTAAGATCTTGGACCGGATTTATGAAGTTCCCCTAAATTAAGATACATTCTAGGCAACAGATTACATAGAGCTAACCTAGCAGGGCTTAGAGGACTGGCTGAGATTAGCCATGCAGCCACCTGCAGTGTCGGTTCAGTTATGCCAGCAGATCTTGTGAATCAAAGGCATCTGCGGTCAAGCATCGATCGATACCCTTGATCAACCCATGATCAACACTCGATCGACATGTCAATCGTCATCCTGATTGATACTCAGTTGACAATCAATCAACATCTCAATAACTCGACACTCCATCGCTGGTTTGACAGTTGGTCAATTGTCGGATGAGTGTCGAAAAATCACAAGTCAAAAATTAGTTGACTCCCGACCAAATGTTGACTGAGATGTTGATCAAATATGTCAACCGAGGTGTTGATGGAGTGTCGATCAAGATGTCAACTGAGGGTATTGATCAAGGGTATTGATCAACACTCTACCGCAGATGCCTTCAGTACACATTATCTGTACCAAATAGGCAGCCAACAGTATGGATAGTGAAAAACACATTTTGAGACCAAGACCCAGAAACCATTAAAA